ATATTATATATGAATGTATTTTAAAGTATTTATATTTGTTCCCATGGTTTTTCAAATGATTTTCATTATATTGCTTAAGTCTAAGATTGCTAGGGACTGTTAGAGGTTTTTCCTATCACTTAACATATTTTATATGATGGAACTCTTTTAACCAAACAACCAAAGCAAACAGTCGAAGCCGGCTCGCATGTCGCTTTGCGGTCACAGAGAGAAGGAGAGAGTAAGAGAGAGAGATAGAGAGAGATCTGATTGTATGGCCAATGGAAAAATCGTGTCTTGTCTTCTCTACTGCAGTCGCGTATTTGTTTACGAGTAGCTGTGACCCTACCGAAACCCAAAACCCAATAATCACAAACGTCAGATGATAAGCGAGCGCTGGAGAGGCGGGCGGAGCGAGATTAGCCTGAGATAGAGCGTAGACACACACACAGGCAAACCTATTGCCGGCCATAGATGTGCGGCTACGGCCATGGGTATAGATAGCACCGGCACGACCGATAGGAGCTCAGTTACATTGAGCGAGCGTTAGCTATCGTTGCTACCGTGTCTCGTCCACGGACCAAATATTGCACGTATACTTCAATCCTTTGTGCGTTTTTGCAGAGAGCCGAAAGCGAGAAAGATGACCGTGGAGGCGAAAGTCATATCCGGCACGGCGGTGGCCAAGTGAGTAGCCAGCTGAGTTGGCGCCTGTAATGCTGAATGCTAAATGCACCACGGTGCACCTGTTCCATCTGTCAGGAATATACGCGAGGAGCTGCGCCAGCAAGTGAATGCGCTGAGGGCTGAGGGCGCTCGATTTGTGCCCGGACTCAGAATCGTGCAAGTGGGCGGCCGGGAGGACTCCAATGTCTACATACGCATGAAGATAAAGGCGGCCACAGAGATCGGCATCAATGCCGTGCACGTCCAGCTGCCCAGATCCATCACCGAGTCGGAGCTGCTCGATAAGGTGAGTCGAAGTCAACGTCAAAGCCAATCAACGTGTTATGCAACAGCTGACAAAAGAAATACTAATCAAAAATTAATTATCTGCGAGCAGCCTGTCGGCTCGAGTTAAACGAAAGCATTAAAATAAAGTAGATATTATATATGTATATGTATGTAAATACTTACATATATGCTAGGTGTACTAGCTCCTAGTTGTTGTGTGTGCTAAAAGTTAAGGCTTCACATATAATTTTTTAAAGTTTCGAATTATACTACACTTGGTCATTATCGCATTTAATATAATCATCTTTAATCAAATATAAATT